TTTTCATTTATTACATATATTTATTTGATTTAATAAAAAAATAAAAACATTACAAAAAATATACATATATATGTATATATATTACAGGTACAGATTAACAATTCAAATTGAAGATCACACTAGAGACATAGAGGTCATCGCTTTTGGCAGAACTGCTCAGGCATTAATAAAAAAACCTTGTTCTGCACTAACAATTGACGAAGGCTTTACCGATCCATTTATAATACCGCCAGCTATCGATCAGATCCGAGGACAATCCAAAATCTTCCAGATCTTTTTCCAACAACGAGGCACCCAAATGAGGACATTAATTTCTAAAATATTTGAAGACATCCATGTTCCATCATCGCCACCAAAACTATTAACTGCAGGAACAGAAGAACCACATAGGTAAATATTGTCTTTAAACTTTTCCAGCAACTATACATAAATAACATTTATATTATATTAATAACACTTTTAAAAATTTCCACATCTTTCAGCCTACCAGCTATACCATCTTCCCAGCTATCAACACCAGCCACATTTGATCCATACACTCCAACACCAAAAAAGCCTAGCACAAGGTAAATCACATTCAACACAACAAAGATTATCAATTTATTCAAAAACATATCTTCAGCTTATTCCATTCTTTCAGTCCTGAATCAAGAACAACAAGACAATCTACAAAACGCCCAAGAACAAGGTACTTTAAATATTTTTATAATACTTATTTCATACTATATATTTTAGCCACCTTTACTTCTTTTAACACTTATATTTACAACGGATTTCCTCATTTTTATGCTTGCAACTAAAAAAAAAAGAATTGCTGAGGGACTACAACTTCCTTTGTTTTTTCCTGTACATTCTGTATATATATAAATATTCTAAATAATAACGTTATATATGTATGCATAAATATGTTTGTACAAATTTTATATCTATCATGTAATACAATGCTATATAATACATGTATATATATAAATATATTTTAAATACAACTACCATATAATATAACATTGCTTTCCGCAGTAACGCGCGGATCTCACGCTCGTAACAAATCTATAAGAGTGTAGTTGAAATATAATAGTTTTTTTAAAACATATTTTAAAAATAACCTACTTACGTAATAATTATTATAGTGATATTCATGGTTTATGTCGTTTTAACTATTATAATGATTTTAATTTTTTATATGTAAACTATTTTAAATTATTTTGCTATATTTTAACAATCTTGAGGATGTTATAAGACTAAATTTCTAAAAACAATTTTGAAAAGTAGGTGGCATGTGACAATTTCTATATGTTTTCGGATTTAAACTACACTTTGTAGTTTGCATTTGTGCCATGTTGTGCTGTCCCTTCACTAGTGAATTTGTGTTGCAGAAGTCCCAAATCTCAATATCCGTGCACAAATTTGAAGGTGAAATTTTTTTAACCCTTATTTATTTTAACAACTCAAACTTTTATTTAGAATTCAAACCTTAATTTAAACTGGTGTTTGAGAGAGAAAAATTTAAGAATAATTCAAACCATTAACAATGGTTCAAGAATAACTTAAATTGCTGATTTTAGAATTTATCTCCCTCCTTAAATTCTAACAATATGAATTATTGTCAACAATATTAGTTCCAAATTCTATTTTTTTTTCTCTTCAATTTAAATATTCAAAATGTCATAACTTCTCCATTTTAATTCTGCTTAAGATGTTTTTTTTATTGTGTTCATAATTAAGAGAGGAACAAATCCCTACCCATATTGTATATTTTTTAACGTCATTTAAAATGAAGTTTTATAAGATTTGTTAAAAAACTCTAATGACAGTTTTCAATACTTTATTCAAACACAATTCGGATTTTGTTCTCAATCCAAATTACAATTTATTTGTATATCTAAACAATAGTTTGGATTATAGTTTGAATCACTACAGTTCAAATTCTACAACCCTAACTAAAAAAGTTCAAATCTCTACAATTTAAGTGGTTGGACCAAACAAACCCTTAGTACATTCCTCAAAATTTCTAAAAAAAGCTGGCAATTATATATCAAAAAGAATAAGACGTATAGCAAAATTTTACTCGTAGCATTGAAATATAGCAAGAAATTTAGAATATTTAACAAATAGCAAAATTAGAGTCATTAAAATAATTACTTTAAAAGTTTTGTAATATAAAATGCGAATATCAATATAATAATTATTATGTAATTTTGTTCTGTAGAGTGTAATTTTTATAATTATATATATGGACAAGAATCAGATATTTTGATGGCTTAACCCATATTTCTTGGAGACAGTTATTGCAAATTTTGGTCACAAGTAACAAAACACCAAATACCAAAATTTAAATAGTATAGCTAAAATATAACAATATTTTGAAATATTACAAAACAACCAAATTTGATATTTTAAAATATTGACTGTGTAACTATATAGTATAATTCTTCAAAAAAATTATATAGTAAATTACTTAACACAGCTTTAGCATGACACGTCTGTATTTGTGTGTGTGTGTATATATATATATATATATATATGTAAGTATTTTACGCAGAGGAAAGAACAAAAGATGGATTTCTTCAACTGCCATCTTAGGATTGAAACTTTCATTATTTCATATCAAGATACAACTCCAATGGAAAGAGCCTCTAAAAAAGCATTAAGAAAGAAACTAAACCTCACTCTCCTGCCTTGTTTGCATGGACAGGGATGAGCATGTTTTTAGCTCATCTCCTTCTCCGACAAGAACCTTAATTTGATCACAAACACAAAAGGTGAAAAAAGAAAAAAAAAACTTGAATAATCTCAGAGCGAGGGAAGCAAATCAAAGGACCTAGACTAGCTAAACTCAATTTTTGAGTCCCATCTTCCATGAGAGGACAAAGTTCTTTCCAACTGGCAATGACAATCCCCCAACCTGAACCATAACACTCTTGATGTTCCCTCCTCCGTCTTTGTCGTCATCGACATGAACCTGCTCCGACGAAGTCACCTCCACACCCGCAACACTCGTGACTGGCATTCCGCCGATCTCAATTGCGGATGCAGCTCCATTTCCATCCAATCCCAACACTGTCACCTTCTCAACAATCCAAGCATTATCCAAGGCAAACTTGCCTTCCTGAACTTCTGACCAGACTTTCACATTTCCTTCACTCACAGTGGCATAGAAATCAACGTAAGTGGATTTCCCATTTCCAAGTTTCATCTCCGGAAGCTCATCTTCATCAAGGAAAAGGTTTCCTTTCGCTTTTCCCTCGCTTTCCCCTGCCGGGAAAGTTACCACTAAACTAAAAGGAGTCTTCCTTGCTTCCTTGGAAATCAGTCCACCTTGCTGCATTGGAATAATGGTGTTTTGATACAAATGAACGTTCACAACATGTAAAGGCGCATCGAGCGTAACATATTTCCCTCCTTTCGACACAATGATCTGCGTCATATCGAACAAACTATACCAACTACCAGGAGGAAACAGAGCCTTGACCTCTGTTTTCCCCTGCTCAAGAACTGGAGATATCAGTAGACCGCTTCCAAGCAAGAACTGAGTACTCAATCCATAACATTCGGTGTAAGTCGAGAACGAGAAGAAGAGTGGCCTGGCGATGGGGGCGCCGGTAACATGAGCCTCGTAATTTAATGTGTACAGATAAGGAAGGAGCTTGTACCTCATCCCCAAAGCGTTTCTCGCAGACTGAGCAACTGAGTCCCATTGATAAAGCTCTTGTCTTGGCGAGTAGTAATTGGCATGATCTCTCGAGAAGGGGTAGAAAGCACCTAATTCGATCCAACGGTTGCAGAGCTCTTCTGTTGGTCCAGGGTAGAATCCACATATGTCAGCACCAACCATTGGAACTCCGAATATACCGAAGTTAAGCATGGTTGAGATTGAGTACTTCAAGTCCTCCCAAGTTCCCTTGTTGTCACCAGTCCAATGTGCAGAATATTTCCCTGAACCAACATAAGTTGAGCGAGTCAATATAAAGGGTCTTTTTCCTTCAAGCGCAAGAAGTCCCTTGTGGGTTGCAACAGCTTCAGAGAAACCGTAGAGACTATGGGCATCATATTCCAACACTCCATCATAGTGAACCGCACTTGTGGCAATGGTTTTGAATCCAACAGGAGCCTGCAAACCGGAGGCATTGATTTTGTAGGGCGGATCATCCCATCTCGTCTTGGTTATGTTCTTGCAATCCAAGCAGCATATCCATCCAGGGCCCGTACCACTAGGACACTGCTTCCCCTTCGGGATCCTGCACTTCCCGGAGCAGAAATTCGAAGCCTCATTCATGTCAATCCATATGCCATCAATGGGGGCTAGTTCATGGAAGCGGCGGATCTCATCCCCCCACCATGAGACAGTTTTTGGGTTGAGGAAGTCAGGGAAGTGCACAGCGCCAGGCCATACTTGAGCTATGTAAGGTTCACCCTCATACTTGATGAATACGTCATTAGCAATGCCGCGTTGGTAGACGCCATAGCTGCTGTTAATGCTGATTCCTGGATCATTGATGACAATGTACTTCATGCCTATGCTGTGAATTTTTTCTAGGAATGCCAGGAGCTTGGGACGAGGGTAGTTTGTGGGGTTAAGGGTAAAATCCTTTTTGCCATCCGTGTGATCGTCGTCGTTCCAGATCACGTCGAGTGGGATTTGAGCTTTTTTGTAGCTCTCAACGACCTCTTCAACGACTGAGAGATTGTGGTATCCCCATCTACATTGGTGGAATCCTGTAAAGCCAAATGGAAGAGGTAAACTTAAAAGACTATTAATAACAAATTGTTTACATCTTAAAACATTCCCCATATCATATTACAATGCAAGAAACAAGACAACTAATTGTAAGGATCAACAAAGTACACATTCAATCGCTCTTTTAGACTACAGAGAAGTAATGCTTTCCAAATTTTCCACAAAATAGGCAAGTAGGTTTCATGTTAGACTCCTCTTCTCTCTCTCTCTTTTCAGATGATAATTTTGATAGATAAAAGCAACAGTGAAATGAAAAAAAAATTTGTGGGAAAGTTTATCAACTACTTTAAGAAAAATTCCTGCCTTTTCAAACGCCGGTACATTACTAACACCATTTTTTTTTTTTTTTTTTTGCTGGAACTAGTCTACTATTCTTTCATATAATATGATATATTTATGCATGAATAATGCATGTTACAGTCAACACTAAATTTCTTATGTCTTAATGAAAGCTTTTTACCATAGAAAGAAAGTAGACAAAGTACAAGCCTTTGGACCAAGACCAGGACCACAATTCAGATAAGACGCAAATATATATATATATATATACACATCATTAATGGTAGAGCAATCCTATTTGTGCTCATGGGGTTAAATCCCCACTCTCTCCTAAAGGATGGACCCCACTTATGGGGTTCCACATCGATTCCACTCTTTGTGAAAGAGTAGAGATATAACCGCATTGGCCTATGCAACATTTTTTTTAACGGAAATAGTAGAAAATAGGCCAATATAAAAAGCTTAAGAAAGTATATATGCTAACTTTTAGTTATAGAAATTAATAAGCCATAACTTGTTAAGTTATGGTTCATAACCAGATAAATTATGAACAAACTTATCAAGTTATGGTTCATAACCAGATAAGTTATGGACAAAAACCGTGAATTATGGACAATAACTTGTCAAGTTATGGTTCATAACCAAACAAGTTATGGACGAAAACAGTAATTTGGCTTATTAATTTTAATTCATCTCAAGTCTTGGACTATTTCCCTCTTTCACCCTTTTCTTAATTGTATTAGTTTGAGATCTTTTTTTCTTTTGTATCCCTCCACTAGAGCTGCAAGTTTGGGCCAGGCTAAACAGGCCGGCCCGAGGCCTGCCATTGTTCCGACCCAGCCCTAAATTTTTTAGGCTTAGAGCCGGGCCAGACTGGGCCGACCCTTTCTCATCTAGGGCAGGCCAGCCCAAACATCATACTTTCAAATATTTTTTAAAAAATACCTTATAAAATTTTGGGCCGGTTCGGCCCTAAATTTTTTAGACTTAAAGCTGGATTGAGGCCGACCCGGCCCAAATTCCCCTTCAGGCCACCAGGCTTGGCCAAACCTGACAGCCCAAACTTACACCTCTACCTCCACTAACATAAAGATAGTAAAATAATACAGTAAGGAGAAGGTTAGTACTGTAGAGACCCCTACAATTCAGGCTAGTCTCACCATCACATGGTAGTGATCCAAGCAGCGTTGGCCCAGACACATAGATGTTGTACACAATTTCTTTCTCAAATTACCATCAAACGTGGTCCTACTAATAATCAATTATCACAACATTGTCATAAAGCTAATTAACAAAAAAAAAAAAAAATCATTGTCGTAAAGTTTGGACAGGATCGTTTAATTTCCACCTTTATATAGGAAAGATGATAATTTACAAGGAAAGAAAATTGTTGCAAGGACTAACTAAGCAGGAACTGTGCCACTTATGGGACCACATGTTGCTTTAGGAAGATTATGCGAGAAAAGGTCAGATTTTTAGCTAGTAAAGTTGGAACGTAGCAGAAAAAGGCAGCTAATTGTGAAAGCGATAGTAATTAGAGCTTCCAACTTTACTTATGATCTTGTCTTTTGTGTGGACCTAAAACTAGATTATTTTAGTTGTTAATCAAAGAAATCAGCTTTGTAGATCCCGAACAAAAGTTGTTCTACGGAGATATGGTGTGAATAAATTGATGAGAAAGTCCTCTTTATTATTATTAGTTTTTATAAATAAATGGCAATAAAGTAAAACAGATAATGCACCAAACCCACCAACCCAACTTAAAAAAACAAAAAATCATATCCGTTCTCAGAATATGTAGAGTAAATGCCCACATGTCGACACCCATCAACGAGTCCCACAAAAAAAAAATCAAGTCTTTGAACTTCCGACATTTTGGTCTAAATCTACCATTAAACAAATCAAATCCATCATTCCCCTAAAGCATATGCATAATTCATGATCCCAAGTTCTAACTTCTACGGGACCACAAACAAAACCAAATCATCTAAACAAATGAGATTTTAATTAAAATCACGTCAAAACAAAAAACATATATATATATATATATATAATCAACTGAATACAGATTTGACGGGTATTGACGCATAAAAATCAAGATAAACCAAGCCCAGAAGAAGATACAATAATAATATGGAATTTAACAACACATATATGTATATGCATAGCCATGAGAAGTGAGAGACGTACCGAGAGCCCAGTAAGGCATGGGAGCCGGTCTACCGATGAAGGAAGTATACTGATCAACGACACCGAGAGGGGTGGACCCAGCAAAGAAGTAAAAGTCAAAAACACCCCCAATGACCTTATAAGTCAAGGAAGTTCCTCTATAGAACACATCCATGCCATTACTATTGAGCAACAGAACCGCATGGGCATAAGCCTGACCGTTCACATTCCTAAGATCCATATACACTGGGTGGGACCCATACAGATCGGCATTAAGGTTGATGGCGGAGATGTCAGTAGTGTAGAGTGTATAGGGGTCATTGGGATAGAGCTTAATCCCGTGAGGCTGTGTGTTCTCCCCGAGGCCGTATAGGGACGCATCCTTCGGCAGTTTGGTGGAGATCTCGAGGTACTGGTCCTTGAAGACCAGTTCTCCGAAGGGGTCGGACTCGTCGGAGCTGCTGTTGAAGAGCACTTGGCCGTCGGATTTCCTCTTCACCGCGAACCCGAACGGGTCGGCCGTGAAGCTGAAGATCAGCTTGGAGCCGGAGTACTCCGACGCCGCCACCGTCGTGATCGGAATCTTCCGTGCCCGTCCGATCGCCTGCTTCAGCGCCGGCGGACTCTCCCGTGGCAAGAGGTTGTACGGAACCTCCCATCTTTGTTTCTCCGCGTCTGTTATGTGGACTCTTAAACGATCCTCTGTTTCGTGCCTGCAATAACAAAAAGAAATGAAACATATGAACAAGAAAACAGAGAGAAAAAAAAAAGAATTTTTTCTTCTTTTTTTTATTTTTTGTTTTTGCTTACTTGACGAAGAGTTGTAAGTTGGGGATATCGGGGCCGTAGACATTGTTCTTTTGCTTGACTTGGAGGTGGCCAACGAGACCGCCGTCGGGGGTTTCTTCAGCGGCGATGAGGCGGTAGCCTTGGCCGATTTTGGTGGGGGCCGATTTACTGCTCTTGCCCGCGGCGGAGAAAGATAAAAGCAGTGCTAGAATAAGAAGAGAGAGAGATAAATTGGTAGAGGAAAACATGTTTGAGTTTTGTTCTTCACTACTACTCTGAAGAGGAGCTAGTGAAGTGAAGACTGGCTCCGAGGAGTACTGGGGGAGTTGGGAGTTGGATTTTTATAAAACAAAGTAAGGAGGCACATAAATGGTATGATGAGAGATAAAAAGGAGTGAGTGATTGGATACGTGTGGGTGCCTAAGACCGTCCTGTGCACGTGATTATGATGGAAGATGGGGGCCACTGGGCCCTACTGAGAGATGATTTGGTTCCTATTGTGGACCCCAGTTTCTGGTTTTAGCTCCAGTGAGTGGTAATCTTTGACACCTGCTGCGGCTGTGCAAAGGGCGCCATTTCAGAGGATATTTTTTGGCGCGCTGCAACGAGTGGATTACAGTAAAGAATATAAAGGCAAGCTTAGTTTGTTAATTTAAATTTAGACGTAATTTTATAAAAAAAATTTATTATAATAAAACATTACATTAAATTATTTTTAAAAGGTTTTTATTATAAAAAATTTAAAATTTAAATTTAAATCGGTAAAAATAAATGAGATTTAAGGAGATGCGGAAGTAGAATAAACGGCTTGAGTCTAACCGCATTGAATCCGACCTGTTTCTTGTAGATATTGTTTGTGTTGATGGCATGACACAGGACGTGACGAAGTCAAAACCGTGATTCTCGGTGCTTCGAAAACGTTTCAATCCCTTCCTGCACTCACGAATAACTTGCAAGTTATATCCATCTTTGTCCAATAGTCCAATGGCCATAATATTCCTTTGTTAACAATTTTTTTTTTTTAGTTTTTCCGATAAGTCCTCAAAGTTATCGAAAAGTATTTGTTTTAAGTCCATTAAATTTGTATAAAAAATTATTTAATATTTTTAAATTTAATGTGATTTTGATCAAATTTAATAATTAGAAACTTACTTTGTTGATAATGAACTTTACTAGAGAAAATCTCTTTTTTAGCTAAGATTTTCTTAGGGTTTTGAATTTTTTTTTGCTCAAGTTTTGTTAGGGTGCCTTTTGATTTTTCTAGTTTTTTTTAGAAGCTTTTTTAGTTTGACTAAAAAAGATAAATTACCAATAATGTTTTATTTACAGTCATTATATTTATATTAAAAATTATATGTTCTACATATTTATTTAACTGATGTAATTTTGATCATGTCTTACAGTAAAAAATAAGTTCTACCCCTAAGAAGACTTATCATAAAAGCTCTCCCTTTTTTAACATACGTATATATTGAAAGATTTTTCTAACTTGTTGAATCTTGTCTCAATATGAACTAGTTGTGGAAAAAAAAAAAAAAAGTTACTCTTTTTTCTAGTTGATTGTTCTTAAAATCGTGTTCCTCGGCAGCGGGAATCGTTAGGTCCACCAGTTACGGAAAAAATGGGAACTATACGACGATGTTGGGGAACAATGGTGTTTCTTTATTTTCCCTGTATCCTACTGTTGATTGATTTCTCTCTCTGTTATTCGTATTCTTTTGTTATTTTTTCTTAATTTCCAATTTGGCCAGTGAAGTGTGTCGGTGGAAAACTAATGTAATTTTAGGACTAGTTCTTTAGATTTAAAAACAGTAAATGAAAAGATTAAAATTTAATACTCCTATTCATATTTCTATGCGTTTGGTTATAATAATCGGGTACAGTTGGAAGTTTAAAGTACAAAACAAATTTACTCACATATGAGACCTAATTATATTAGCTATCTTACATTTCTTAAATGTAATCTCTAATTTAGAAAGTGATAATAGTTGGTTAAATAAATAAAATAAAATAACCAACAATAATTGTCCGAGATGCGGTAGTCCAATGCTGTAACGCACTAACTCCTGCTTTATTTTTCTTTATTATTATTATTATTTTTTTAAGACTTACTGGTAGTATCACAAGAAGAGCTATTAGATTGGTTTTTATCTTTTTGACCTGATAGCTTGCTTTATTTATTTATTTATTTATTTGAAAATAATAGCTTTCTTTATTTTTCACATGATAATAATAGTAACAACAATAAATTTAAACAAATTTTTACTAAAAGTTTTCTCAATTTTTTTTTCTCTTCAGTACATTAACGATCTTGGACCAACAATGAAATTAATGCGCTTTTTTTTTCCTAAGTAAATTAATGCGTTTTTTTTTCCTAAGTAAATTAATGCTTGGATGAAATAGATAATTTTTTAGGTACTTATACATGTTATAACTCTTTTTTAGTTGAAATATTATTACTTTTACGAGGGTGCTGATGTATGTTGATGGCTTCATAATTTCAAAATTACAATTTATAGGGACTTATTCATCCTATTTAGCATTTCAGTAAAATGCATGTTCGTTTCACTTACTCAAAAGACATTAATGTTTTTTTCGCGGCCTAATTTGAGCCAAATAACGTTCTTAGAATAATAATATTTACGTCAAATACAAGAATCAAATTACAATAAAAAAATGGAAGGTTCACTTTTGAAAAATTAAAAAACGTCCGGGATATTTCGTAATGATACTTAACTTTTATCTCAACTAAAAAAAGATAGTTCTATTGATTTTAAAAAATGTAGAAAATAAACTGACAAACTTAGGAAGCCTTAGCTATAACTTAAAAGCCAAGTATCAAAGCAATGATCTTTTAATAAAGAAACTTTCTATGATGTTTTCTCATTTTTAGTAATATTAGTGTTTCTTATTTATTAATTGTTAAATCTGTATTAAATTTAATCAAAAATTAAATCATATTGAAAAGTAATATAGATTTAATGATTGATAAATAAATAACACCAGTAATTTTTAAAAAGATGAAATACAAGAGAAATTCTCTTTAATAAAAGACCGGAAAATAAAATGAATGAGTAAAGTTCTAGTCAATTGATATGATGCTTTCATTACACGGTAAAACTTAAAATTTTGAGAAACTATGCTCACAATTAGTGAAAACCTTAAGCATGATAGATAGATTAATTGGTGAAGCCATCAATATATATATATATATATATATATATATATCAAACACCGAGCTACTGAAAACACAGAAATGAGATGGTCCAGTTAAAACAATGATATGCTTCGAGTAATGAACAAGAAAATTATTGAATTTCAGTGTGCAGACAAATGCGATAAAACTTCATCAATTGAGAAAAACGAAAACGTGATTCTGCCTTGACTCTATGTGGCTGTGTGGACCTTAGTATTTAACTCTACAATACTTGCCAAAATTTTCTCTCTTCGTGGGACAATTTTCCCTTGCTTGGTTTACAAATCGATGTTATCTATCTGGGGTGTTTTTCTTGGAAACTCTCGTGAATATATTTTGTATTTTAGATTTATTCAAAAAAGTATTTATTTATTTCAATTTATATTCTAAATTAGTCAATTCTTAATTTTAACACCTACAATGATAAAAAAAGATACCAAAAAAATAAAGAGAGAATTTTAAAAATTAATAAAAAAATACCAAGAAACTTTTCTTAGTGAAGGATTATGTTCTTAAAACCTTTTCGTTTCCTTTTCATTTCTTTTTCCTATTTAAGAGCACTTTCATCACTGTTTTAGTCAAACTTGAGAATTGAGTACCTATCCAAGGCATGAATTTGACAATTAATGAAGTCTCAAATAGATAATATACTTTTTGAATTATTAACCTAAAATATAAGGTATATTTATACAAATTTCCCTTTTTCTTTTGCATGTTTGGCTAAACCAGGGAAATATCATGTGACAACAGATTATTGTCTGCCAATTGAACCAAACATAAAACAACCAGACGTTCCTCAGGGACAAGACAGTTATGTTCATATATATGTACTACCGTATCATGTGATATTAGATTGGAAAGTTCTGATGGTAAATAAGTAAAGAAATGAAAAGGATAAAACAGAACAATTGCATCAAATCTTCTCAAAAAGAAAAAATAAAGAACAATTGCATCAAATATTTTTGCGCTCTTTGGTTTTCTTTGTTTTTATAAGCTCCTGTTTTAATCTAAACCGATTTTTAAGTGTAGCAAAGAAACATATATTTGAACCTGAACAATTTACTGATAATAAAAGCCATTTTGGAACTACCAAAAATAAAAGCCATTTTGGATTTTCTTTTTCTACTTCTTTTTAAGAAACCAACTACTAGCTATAACATTAGTTTTATATTTTGAGATGCGCAGCGAGCAAGTTGTCGCATTTTCTGGATGGCCTAGATACTAGTTTTATTATTAAAGAATTGAGATTCTATCTAAATTGAATAAAAATGTCATGATACGAACCTATCAATCATGACACAAATCTGTCAAAGTTTTGTTAGGTGCGTTTGGAATTCGTTCTAAAATGATTTTGTGTTTTGTATGAAAAGAGAAATAAAAATGTTTTCAATTTTAGATATAAATTATTTTTAAAAATGCGTTTGATAGTTTTATCAATAAATTATTTTTAGTATAAAAAAACCCATTAATGTCTCTCTCTCTGCTCGAGAGAGGAGAAAACGAAAACAAAAAATAAAAAACGACTAAAAGTCATTTTTAAGTTCTCTCCCATTTTACATTAAACCAAACAATATTTTTTATTTTTAATTGTGTCAAAAGTCATTTTAAAATCGTTTTTATTTTTTCTTTATCGAAAAACGTAAAAAACAAAAAAATAAGAACAATTCTAAACATGCAAGTTATTTTTTTTTCTTCTCTCTTTCTGGTTTATATATCTGAACTAGAAGAAATAATGAGTTTTTTTTTTTCCATAAACAGAAGTTTGGGAATGGATCAACAATATTAAAATACTCATCTAGACCTTATATACGCTTTAGACGTCGATAGAAATTGTTGTGGAATGGCATAGGGACCGACCCTATCTCTCGACAAGATGTGTCATCTCAGTCTTATGGAATGATAAATACACTAACGGTCAATATACATGAGAACGTATACACATTAATGGCATGTTTACTTATCCATAATCGGAGTGAACATGAATCAGAGTTAGAATAAGCTGTTTACTTAGGTTCTATGAATCGGAGTCGGAATCTGTTCCAATCTCATTCATGGGTTTACTTACGTCTAGAATCGAAATAAACTGTTATAAATTTACTTACCTACCCTTTTAGTAGATAAAATTGTGTGTTGAACTTAAAA